CAGTCAAGCACAGTATTTTGCTGCCTGAGGTGAAGACTAAGATGCAACTCCCCATTACATCCAGGAGACAACCAGACTGGCCCAACTCTCCAGGATTTGAACATCTCTCAGAATATAATTGAATAGCACCTGGAGGTGTGGAACAAGCACATCCTTCTCATGGTTTATAAAATTCCCAAGTGTAACCATCTTGTCCCAGAGATCTATTTGGTTTAAGCCTCTTTAAAACCTTTTGTTCCATAGATATGGGTTTACCCATAGCTTTGGGATAACCTGGATTCCAGCTTGATAGTTAATAATATCCTCCAGATTAGTGGCAGAAACCTTATACAAGTTTCCTAAATTTATAGCAAATTTATCAGTAATGATGACGGGGTCAAAATGCCATACACCACCTTCATTCTTTATAATTCAGATTTTAGTGTTGGCCTTCCTTTTTGTAAGGTTTAGACCCTTTGTGATCATGTTTTTAAAAAGTATTTAGTATATGAGATTCCCCATCATAGTTTTATTGAGTTCCAGCCAGTTGAGTTCTGTCTTCTTTTTATCCATTCATTGCCTTATTTTGACAGTTCCAGTTGTTCCATACTGCACCACGAGTTGACTGATATCCTGCACTTCTTTTGTGTTCTTATGCACAAATCTGACGCAACGCTGAGGCACTCATCCATCCGTGTTTCAGCAGATAGTAGGTCTTACAGAGAAGGAATTTGAATCTTATGACCTAAGAAGACTGATAGACATCAACAGTATTTTGGGGAAACATATTTACTGATGTCAAGCCCAGCCCCAGCCAATTGCAAAACAGCCATATTCTCTTGATTTTGCATCAAATGACAGCCTGTCAAATCACACCTTATTCTTAACTTGATTCATTATCCCAGTGGTGTAGCAGCTTTGTAATATCTTGCTGGCCTCTTCTCTTTGCTCACCCCCAGCTGGTTGGCAGCTTGAAAGGCTTCCTGCTTTCTTGATTCTTGGCAGCTCCTGCTTTTCCTTTGCCATTACTTTTACAATCTCATTTTCGTCACAATCTTATCTCTAGTGCTTCCAAAGACCCAACTGGAGCAAGCACAGTCCTGCAGGACCCTAGGAGTAAGCACCAGATGGCAACTGCATTGTAACAAATGACATAAAGGCTGGCATTCAGTTGTTGCACATTGTCGAAACACCTGCTTTCCAGAAAATGTTGCAGCTGTGATATGAGACATAACCGACTCAAAGCTCTTCTGTTTATAGTAGCCACCTGGATTTCAGGAGAGATGCCAGGTTCAGATTCCTCAATAATGTTCATCATCTTTTTTTCCAGGGTTGGAGGCAGATACACCATGTTGCATCACAAAGAGGATATGCAACCCCACTCACAGATCTCAAGGACATCCAGCCTGTAACAGATGGGGAACTCTTACTCTCCCCACTCCCCAAGCCAGTCTAGGCAGGCCAATAGTGTAAGACATTCTCAAGTCAGCTGCCACCACATTTCCCTTCTATTCCCTCTAATCCCAAACTGCAGTAAACCCCAAGTGTGCAATGCAAATACTTGTGAGGGAAAGCACCTGGAGAAAGACAGTCAAGTTGTGTATCCATAGCAGAGACCAGAAGAGAAATAACCGCTGGGAGGAGCACAGAGAGAAGGAACGCCATGGTGCATCTGCAGAAGCACAACTAGATGTCTTCACCTGCCCCAGCTTTAAAAGCATGTCTCTTCCGCATCGGTCTCTACAGCCACAGCAGGCGCTGAAACTGCCCACAGCTTGATCTCACCCCCAAATGTGCACTCTTCCATTGTCTCCCGAGACAGACGGATGCCAATGACTTATCCTTCACTGGACCCCAAGGAAGCAGAAAGGAATAAATCGTTATTTATGTCAAAAAATGGAATCCACCAAGGACTAGTATTGAGGCCTGTGCTTTTTAAATAATCTAGTTAGGGATGAGCAGTGAAATTTCCTATTAGCTGATGATGCCCATTCATTCAATGTTGTTCAAATGAAATGGAATTGTGGGAAGCTCCAAAATGAGCTCTCCAAACTGGGTGAACGGCCAGAAAAATGGCAAACGCAAATGAATGTAAACAAGAATTAAGTGATGCATATTGGGATTAAAAAAACCCATCAGCTCCAGCTAGCTTGGCCAAGGGTCAGTGATGATGGGCGTTGCAGTCCAACAACTTTCCCTAGTCCTGCTGTAGCTTCTCAGCTTTCAGCTAGAAAAGGAGCCTGATTGACACCTCATCTCTTAAGCCTTTGTGCATGCTGTGTATTTTGCCTGTGACTGTACCAGACTTAGTTGCCCATTGGATGTGCACAAACAAGCCCAATGAGCACTAAGTTGAATGCTGGTTGCATATCCGATTGGCAGCCAACATACCCAGCCAATGCCAAAGACAAGTATGATCATAGTGTTAGAACCTATAATGTATCAAGAAGTGATTGTGGTGCCAAGTTATCCCAAGTCACATCATTCCTCTTTAAGCAAGTATATTTTGTTGCAGAATGATTTATTCCATTGACGTGCCAGCACAAACCACAGGTGCTTACCACACCACACACCACCCCACACCACACCACACCACACCACACCACACCACACCACACCACAATGCTATTAAAGCAAGAGCTTTGGGTCAGTTCTAGCTACCAAAGCAACTGTTCCTGCAGTGTTGAAAAGTAAATCTTTTTTTCATTTTCTTTGCACCACTTGCAAAAATATTTACCTCTTAATATTATCTTTTTTTCCCCTGACTAACGTGGCCTCATGATGTCATAATGCAGCCAAAATCTGATTGGCTGAGGAGCATGAAAAGGTCACTTTGCTCAGTGTGTGATTCCAGGTTTTCTGGGTCATCTACATAAGCAGTTTGGAACTGTTTGGAAGCTACAGCTGCTGCAGCCCAGTCATATTGCATCTATCCCCCTGATCTGCAGTGTGTGCAGATACCTGTCCTAAGTATACTTCCCATCAATATCATGAGGCAACCTCATTCTAGTAGTGGTACCTTGGGTTATAGATGCTTCAGGTTACAGACTCCGCTAACCCAGAAATAGTACCTTGGGTTAAGAACTTTGCTTCAGGATGAGAACAGAAATCGTGCGGCCGTGGCGTGGCGGCAGTGGGAGGCCCCATTAACTAAAGTGGTACCTCAGGTTAAGAACAATTTCAGGTTAAGAACAGACCTCCAGAACGAATTATGTAAGTTCTTAACCTGAGGTACCACTGTATTCAGCTCACTTTCCCCACAGCAGACGTTTTACAAACCACCTCCTATACACCTTACATCTTCCATCATAGGGAAGGTATTAGAACACTGATAGTTTGAGACACCATTTTCTGCATCTCTACAGCAGAAAGCCACTGTAGTGTACATGATGTTCCAAATGTAGCAATGCCCTTAAGTATGTTCTACTGTGGAATTTGTCTTTTTGACTGGCAAAACACAGGCGAACTTTCCTCTGAGCTGTCCACAATCAAAAATTCTTTCCTTTCCCTTCTCTCTTTCTTTCTTCACTGCCAGTTCAGACGTCATCAGTGTATACATGGAATTTGTTTTTTGACTGCTATCTGAACAGCATTCCATTAATTTGAGTTGCTATTTTGTTGCTCATGCATTCAGCCTGGACAGATGTTTTTGGAGGCCTTGGGTTTTCACCATCCTGGATTTTTTTCCTTACCAATTGTAAGCTTGATCACCACACAAAGTACCCTTCACGTTCCTATAGGTGGATGCTCCTTGAGAGGGATCCAGTATTGTGTTCCTTTCATGGTAAGAACTGCTTGCTTTGACCCCCCCCCCTTTCCTATTGTTTAATCAGTTACGAATCCTAAACATGTCATATTTAATGTATTCTTCCTTAGTATAGCTAATAGTCACACAGTCCCTAAATGAGAACAAAAGACAGAGAGCAATGGCTTTTGAATATTCTGTAGACTAAAGCAATCCATCAGCTGCTACAAATGCTTCCTCTCCTTGAATAGGCTAAAATAATAGCCCTTTCTTTCAGTCAGGCCCTCTGCTATAACAATTTCCTGTGTTAATGCTGTCTAGGAGTAAATGGATTTATGGGGTAATTTATCATTGCAAGGAATGTTTCTTAATTTCAAAAAAGCCCACGTCTTAATTTCCACTTAAAAGAAGAGGACGGCGGGACCCTGATCCTCTTGATAAAAAGTGGCAGCATTAGTTGCCATTGGCATCCTATCCTAAAAAAAGAGAAGGGGCAGTTAACCTCTCCTGTCTCTGAAATAGCTTCCAAGACACGAAAAGGCAAGAGAGAGAGAGAGAGAGAGAGAGAGAGAGAGAGAGAGAGAAAGAAAGAGAAAAGGCTCATAAGACATCCTGTATGGGGCCAGGTAGTAGTCAACAAATGTTAGCCTAGCCTTCTGGACATGTCAGTTTTCTACATGGAGAGGCGCGTATTTATTGTACAACACAGGTGGGGCAGGGTGTGAAAGCCCATCTATGTTCCCATATCAGCTGCCCTACAGGGAAAGTTCCGCACCTTCATGTTGAATAAGGTTTACAGGGGTCTTCTACCCATGTTTGTTTGATTATGGGTAGAACCTTCTACATGGTCATGGACCCAGAGTCCTCAACTTTACAGAGGAGCCCATTCATGTTCAGACCTTCCCCATGTAACACTGAGGTCAAGGACTGAGGGGACGTGTGATGTCCCCAAGGAGGTTGGGGGCAGGGCTTGCATGCTTGCCCCTGCCACATGTTGAGCCTTTGCCTGTTGAGGCAAACACCTGAACACACCTAGTGATTGGGCTGTAGTCCCTGCTCACCTCAACCATGGTTTGCCCACTGGCAGCATGTGACCCTGCCAGTCTACAAAGTTTAAGTTGTGGTAAAAGTTTGGTCTGTTTTACTTCTAAGGGGGGAAAGGCAATGAATCTCGATGTATTTGGTAATGTTTTTTATTCCTGGGTCATGCACTCTTTGGGAAGTCAAACAGGCATTGCCAATGTGTCTCTTAGGAGCACAGACCTGTGTGAGGAGAAGGGTTACAGCTTAGTGGTACAGCATCTGCTTTGCATGCAGATGATCCCAAACTCAATCCCTGGTATCTCCAGTTATGGCTTGGAAAGACTTTGCCTGAAACTCCAGAGTGTTTCTGCCAGCAAGTTTAGACAATAACTGAGCTACATAGACCACTGACAATGTACATAATGCAGTTTACCGTGTGTCTTATGCCACGTCACACCATTTATCCATCTGGTCCAGTCTTGTCCACTGTGTCTCACAATAGCTCTCTGGGGTTTCAGAACAAATGAACCTTTTTAAGGGAACTTCCAGGAAGTAATTTGTTGCTGTTCCAGCCTGCCCCCCACAAACTGATGAAATACCATCAAAGTGCAAAACCTTTACTGTTAAATCATGTCAACTTATTTGTAGAGCCTGATTATTCATAAGTGAGTTGGATTTTTCCAGCCCTTAGACTAGAGGCTGCATAATAGAGAGGCCCTCCATAATACTAGGCATAATACTCCATAATATTATTAAATGTCCTCTGTTTTTATTTCAATGTGGGAAAAGCAGAGATAAGAAAGGCTGCAGAAACGTTCAAGCAAGTCACCTTCGTTCATTAATGGCTACTAGTCATGATGGCTATATAGAATGCTATGGATACATTTGGATTTTTGAGAGCCATGGGCATCACTGCCTCTAGTAACTTCTTCCCACCTTCCCTGGATCAGCCACCACTGACAGATATGGGCAAAAAACTGGATCTAGAAGTATTAATCTGAGCCTTGAAAAGCACAGAGCTGAAAGGGGACATGGGAAAGTGTTGCTCTTTCAACTTCCTCCTTCAGCTCTATGGACTTCTCAAGGGAGAAGAGAGTAACCATCCCCACCACCTCAAAACCAAAGGGGAGGTGAGTGGTGGGCAGCTCAATGGTTTTGTAGGTGCCAGGGAAGACCTCAAAGGTGTTGTGATGCCCACAAGCACCATCTGGTAACCCATGCAATGTGCCAAGGAATACCAATTGCTGGGGAGCAACTGCTAAAGGTTATGGTCTTCACATCCCGCTTTTTCTTTGTGGCATCTGGCTGACTAGCAGAAAGAACCTATTAGGGATGGAACCTATTCAGCATGAATAGAACCTATTCAGCATGTCCTTGCAAGAGCCAGGCTACCTGCCACTGGCTGATCAGCCTTGTGTTCATCTGGCTGCCTAGGTGGATCTGAGTTAACTACACACGCTTTAGTTAACTACTAAAACCCTTTCCCCATATTTGTCCCGATTCATGCTGTTTTTGCAAAACCCAGCGCTCTGGAGTTCTGAATCTGTTACTGCCAGTGCTGTGGCCTGTGAGTCATCTTTGGAGATAAGGACAACTTGTTTTTAACAGGCACTCCCTGATTTTTGCTTATTGGTAAGATTTGGAAGTAGCTGCTCATGAGAAATTGGCAGCAGGGAAAATTTAGCCAGGAAACGAGCAGAAAACTGTGTTTTGCTCAAATGACTAAGAAAACAAAAAAACACAAAGCCATTCCAAATTGTGCTACGTCATGAGATGCAGAAACAAATCTTCAATACAGAATCAGAACTACGGTAGCTATGAGACCTACTTTACAAGGCTGAGGCTGGCAATTTGTTCACCCGCTACAATGCAACCTACCTGCACAGTTCCACATCTGCACACGTTCTTACCATTTTGTGGGCATCTCAGTAGTACAATGACCACATATCTATCTATCTATCTATCTATCTATCTATCTATCTATCTGAAATACATCACTGCTCATTTATATGTATAATTTTCTATAATTTAAGTAGAAATGCATCAAACTATAGTGGAGGAGACTACAAGTAGGTGACCTGTGAACCTACTAAAGGTACAATACAAACCCCTGGGAGCTGGAGGGGGTTCTGCCAACATCTGCTGGTATGGAAATCTTTGTGGAAGTGCTACCAACAGAACAATTCTTAGGAAAGCAGGTTGCCTTTATACTGGGTAAAAAATAAGGTATATATTTATAAATATATAAGGTATATTTTCAACTCTGCAACAAATCATCCCCTTATGAGTACCAGAATATTCCCAACTCACTAAGAATTGATTGCAATCTAAACAAAATTCAGGTTGTGGAGAATTTGGATGGCTACTTATCAGTGTAGTATAATTAACACATTCGGCATTGCAGCCTTACTGAGCTGTACATGAATCTGAACACAAAAAAGATAACTGTTAGGGGTTTTCTGAAAAGGTGTCAATAAAAACGGAGTTTTAAATGGCCTAAATGTGGGCATCATAGATTAAGGGAGGAAGGGCTGGTGCTGTCTTTTACCCAAGGTCTGCCCCAGAGATAATGATGAGGCAGTAGCTGGAGTTAAGTGCCCATCCACATGGGACAAAAAAATAGTAGTTGGAATCAAAACCTTAGTTTAAGAGATACTTGGTTAACAGAAATCAGTATTTTCCATACATCATGGATCAACTGGCTCACATTTGGAGAGCCTATCTACTTGAGCAACAAACACACTCTCAAGCTACCTCTCATAAACTCTTAACCCACTTGGTAGCCTCTCCAAACAGCATTTGCCAATTACGGTATATGCCCAATGTTCTGGCACAGTATGCAGTTAAATATTTTTGCTATTTGACAGCTTAATTCAAAGCTAGTCTCACTTGACTTCAGTTGTGATATTTCTTTTTTCCTCATCCTTCACATCAGACTTTTGGGATCTCATTTTTCTTTCAGCACCTTTCTGGATGTCTTATTAAAACTAGAATAAACTCTTCTATCATGTTCAGACTGTACCAGCCAATTTGCTTCAGGTATTAAAATCAAAGGCATAAATCAACAATGAGAGGAGTTTACCAATTACAGATTGGACTTCTCATTTAAGTTGACTGGATGCCATTGTGTGAACTGCCAGAAATGGATTGTGCAATTTTCACGTACATAATTCATTCTCAAGAAGCATTGCTGCCCTGGAGCTAGAACTAACCACGTAGGATGGAATTTTTCAGAAGTGTTTAATGTTGGCCTAGGTTCATTTCTATTAAAGGCAATAGAAAAATATGTTGACTAGAGCTTTAGATGAGCATTCATTACTCTGGAAAACCACAAATTGCAAATGCTCTCAGATGTATTAGGTTTCTAAAGCACAAACTCACTTAATACAGCTTCTGATCTGGATCCTTGTTCATAGTACATGAAGTAAACCATTATAGATCTATGTGTTCCATCTCTCTCCTCCTGTTCACTGAATTTTGTTCTACAACCCTGCTATACCACAACAAATGTACAAAATCAGAATATATTCCCTATTGCAATTACAAAGTATAGGACTCCTCGTCTTTCTGATTCAAGGATTAAAAAAGAAAAAAAGACTGCTTCCTTCAAATGAAGGAAACTTTTGGGCCTAGGGGCTGAATTTGCCCCCTCCTGAAGGGACAGTCCTAGGTGATGATGCTGGGGACTTCTGTTCTGTGGTTCTTTGGCACATGCTGCATATCAGGACAGAGGATTAAGAGATAAGATGTTGATCAGGCTCCTGTTCCAGTTGAAAGCCAATAAGAAGCTACAGCAGGACTTGGGAATCTGTGGACCCTCGTTTTTGTTGGACAACTTCCACCACTCCAAAGTGCTTTGTTGCTGTGTATAAGTGTAGTCCATATGTAGCCTAGGTTCTGTGCTATTGGCACTTGTCTGGTTGCAAGTTTGAGTTTCCAAAGCAGGTGGTCTTGTAGCTCTCAACTCTGCTGCAAATTCAGTTGCCAGAGCTTCTTTCAATTTTCTGATGAGGTTTGAAATGACTGCTGAATTATTTTGTTGCTGTTCTTTGTTGTGTTGTATCAGCGTAAGATACCTCAGTTTATTGTTGCTGCTGTATTGTAATATTAGAAAGTAAACCATCTTGTTGATGCAATATAGTTACGGGCTCATCCACAGGTCAAGGGACAGGTCCCTATGCACAAGTCCAGGAGGTTTTTCGTTTGCCTGTCCAGCTGCTTTGGCCAGGAAAACCATGTTTACTGCTGAATTGTAACAAATGTTACTCAGGTTGTCTGCAGATTGACACTTGTTTTGATTCAGCAGTTAACAGTGAGTTTTCCTGGCAAAAGCAATGGACCAGATGAAAACAAAAAAGAATCCCAGACCTCTGCCTAGAAATCATGAGCGAAACAAAATAACTGACCAAACCAAAGTGTGGCTGAGCCCTGTGTCTTGTTTGATGGTGCTGTATTTTGCTGGTGTAATACTGGTCTTCAGCCAGTGGTGGCAGCAGACATTACTGTAGCACACTGCTTGACCCATAGGTGGCAGTACAGTGTTGATAATGCAGTCCCTGTGGCAGCAGCAAGTTATTTAGCTGTAATGTGTCCCTTTGGCTGGTGGTTGGAGGATAGGGTTGTAATACCCAAAGTGCCTGAATTGGTAGCAGCCGACCACCAGGAGGAGTAGTGTGCAGTGTAATAGAGTTTGTTTTCCCCAACGCCCGATATTGTGAGATGTCAGTTTGCGGTGCCCCCTCGCTTTTTCTGTTTGCTTTCTCTAGGTATGTGTGGAAACAGTGCTGTGTCAAAATTATCACATTTGTTTCCCACTTAGTTTGAGGTTTCTCCAGCACCTATTTGCTGTATCTTCAACATGAATTGTTCATCCATCCCTTTGTGGCCATTCTAGCATGCGCACCACTAATACAGTCGTACCTTGGAAGTAGAATGGAATCCATTCCGGAGGTCCGTTCAACTTCCAAAATGTTTGGAAGGCAAAGCATGGCTTCTGATTGGCTGCAGGAAGCTCCTGCAGCCAATCGGAAGCCATAGAACCCCTGTCAGACGTTCGGCTTCCAAAAACAGTTCGCAAACTGGAACAGTCACTTCCGGGTTTGCAGTGCTCAGGGGAGCCAAAACGTTTGAGAACTAAGCTGTTCAAAAACCAAGGTACGACTGTATAGGAAATTTGAAAGAAAGGTTAACTGAAGATGATTCACCAAGTAAACACTCTGATGGTTAGACACTGGGGAAAAAGTAAACGCACGTAAGATGAGGGCGGAACAGCAGGACAATACCAGATATATGCATGCCTCTGCTGGTCCTGCAAGCTTTTCTGTGCACAGTGGCACAGCCCAGACTGAACAGTTTGACCAGTCTCATTTGGGTAGCTGTTTCATGTTAGCGATGATTTAGCCATAACAGTCTACAGTTTCAAAGTTTGTTCATCTGTGCCATGTGACTGCAAGCCTTTCAAACAAAAGGCAGAGCAGCTATTTATATATGAAAAAAATACTTGAGTCAGCAATCAGCATATGTTAACTCTGTAGGCATAATGAATCAGTACAGGATCAGAGAAATAACATTTCTCATTATCTGTGACGGCTTCTATGCTCAAGAGATGATCAAGTGGCTTTACAGCCATCCCCAGAATTTGCATCAAGTGCTGATTAATGCATAATCACATGGTAAGTTTGATACAACCCCACAGTATCAGGGATGAAGTTTCTCATTAACTCATAATATACAGATATTTTTACTCTTCAAATGCGGATTTACAAATATATTTATATATTTATATATTTAATTCCTTTTCAGGTCATAAAAAATCCTAAACACATAAACCAGTACCTTTTTAACAAGAAAATCTGCATTCTACAGTCCGAGGTGAAAGGCTCCTAATAGAGGGCTGCTTTGGCACTTCTCTGAAGGCCTCTAGCACTTCCTTTTTTCCATAAAATTTATATACCGCTTGATTGCAGAAAAAAACCTCTAAGCGGTTTTAGCCTTGCAACATGAGGCTCCATTTTACTCTTGAGGTAAACTGGAAACAGCTTCGTAGAACTGTCTGTCACTTTTAAAAGGGGAATAATGCATCTTGGAGGTAAGCTTCCCCCCCCCTCAAAAAAAACCATTGTTTAAGAATGGGATTAAAACATAATAAAAAGGCCACTTGTGGTTCCAACCATATTGTGCTGTCGTCTTTAAAAAAAAGCAATGGATACTTTAAAAAAAAGGCTATTCCAACTACAAACCTGAACACCAAAACCAGTCAAGTCATTTTAAATAGTTTAAGCTGCAGCACACGTAAGTCTTTTTTGGGGTGTGGGGGAAGGAGAAATTCTTTTTGCCACTTTATATTTTTACACAAATGCCCCCATACATCAGTTCAAGCACCTGTGAAATTAAGTTTGCATCTTCTTTAACAGTGCCAAAAATTCATCCAATTCACATTCCAGTCTCTTATACTTACGTTTCAGGCTGGGAAATTAAAATGTCTGATTTCCACTTAAGTGACACGTAGAATAAAACCTAACCTTACAAAAAACGCCAGACTGCTTTATTAAGGCACAGTGATTTTGGAAGAAGGCAATCTTCTAGTTAGTGTCTCTGCTTCACACATGGGCTCCCTGATCCTACTCGCATTATGTGAAAAATCCACTGAAATCAGTGAAGCCTACTTCCAAATAATGTGTTTTAGATAGACGTTATAGTGTATATAAATAGATGCAAACACCACGTTTCACTGTTACATGGACACAGCGTCCCTTTCCAAGTAGAGCAGAGTGTGTATGCCTGGCATCAGACATAGGCTCCCAATGCTGCATGGAATTCGGTGAGGCACTGCACCAGCTGCTGGAATTTAGGTCTCTCCTCAGGGTCCAGTGCCCAGCAGCAAGCCATCACAGCAAATCTGGATGATAAAAAAAAGCAAACAAAGGTAAGTAAGCTTGACACAAGTGGTAAGCCCTTCGGCCACAGGTTTAATAATAGATTAATAGTACCTTATTTATATGCCACCCATCTGACTGGGTTACCCGCAGCTACTCTGGGCAGCTTCCAACAAATTAACACACAGTAAGTAAAGGTATTAAAAGTGTGATATTTTCATCCCCTGCCATACACTTTAATGTGTGGTAAGTATTGGAGACCTTAGCAACATGGAAAGTATTTCACATTTTCACCTGTGTGAAAATTAGAAATCTACAGCAAGTGACATCTAGTGAAGATACTCCCCAAGTTAATGTCTCATAGCTGGTTACCCTTTTAAAAGAACACAGTGTATCTTCTCTGTTCTTTTCAGATTTCTTTTCTTTTAAGTATTTGCAGTTTTTGTGAGATCCACTTTAAATTTATGTGTATTTTTAGAAACATCTTTATCAGCAGCTTATAGCAAACTAACTTTAGCACAGCCTTAAAAATGACTCCTTACCTCTGGAATACAGTGGGCAGAAACTGAACCAGGATAGGAATCTAATGACTAAATTTTGCTTCAGTGTATAACAGGCTCAAAATTTAAGCCTCAAGTGGTCAGATTAGTATAGTTTTTGAGGGTTACTAAGTAAGAAACTATAATGATTTCTCAGAAGATATAGTGCTGCGTATGTGCATGTATGCATGAATGAATTTAGGAAATGTAAAATTACATGCAACTTCACAATCTTCCTTTTAAAAGCAGCCCATCTCCTAACAGAGTAGTTCCAAGGAGTACAATAAAAAAGAACCTGAAACACCACTATCATCAGTATGAGTCAATTTAAGGCTGAGATTAACTGCTTATGTCCCCAAAAGAAGGAACCATAAAGTAGTGACAATACACTTCAGCAATGAATTGAGGGATAGAACTTTATTCCATAGCAACGGAACAAGTGGAACAGGGACCACGGACTACTACAATGTCAACCACAGAAATCTGTATCACACATATAAGAAACAGGAAATATTCTCCACCTATTCAGTTGTTCCCCACATGGTCCTCACTGAGTCAAGAGTATGAGTTGCACTTTACTGCATGTATCTAATGTCATTCTTTTGATTGCTTTTGAGGACTTCACTAATCACACCATATTTCCCAGTCTTCAAGTCACAGAGGGATAAAAACACCAACATACAGGCAGCTTCCCATTTATGAGCATCCAACTGACGTGTTACCACACACATGCGCATCGTGCCGAACCCTACTATACCCAAATGAAGTCCAGTTAATGTAGAATGTATAATGCTTTCAAACACAGTTCTTATTCGTTCGCACCAACTAATCATAGACATTATTTTCCACCTACATACACAATCTTAAGAATTATTATGCAACTCTAACAGTCACTTACAATTCATCAGGACAGTTGATTGGCTGAGCTATCCTGTATCCATCTTTTAGATAGGCTGCCATCTCAAAGGGGTCGATATCTACATATGGGGTTTGTCCCAAAGTCATCAGTTCCCATAAGGTTACTCCAAAAGACCACTGGAAAGAGTATCACATATAATAACTGGTTAGATTTTAGGAATGTTTCATATTTCTTTCAAACAAGTATCAGTTTCTTGCAAATAAGGGGCTCAGTCCATCTTTTATTTCAAATAAAGCTTGAAAACAAACAATTGTAAATTGCTGTGGCGTAAAATGGCCTATCAGACCTATTAACAGTTACCAGAGATATTTGTGTTAATGCTTTTACTCAGGTATGACTCCAAAATACAAAACATGTGTGCTGGATGTCTCAATATGAATTGCACATATTTTTAAAGGATTCAACACTTGTGGTGTGTGTATTGTTTCCTATTATCATGCCACTAAACTCCAGAAGTCATACCAAGAGTAGGCCTACTGATTTCAATGGGTCTACCCTGGGTATGATCAACACTGGACATCACTCCCAGTTCTATTAGCCTCAAATTTCTTTTTCTATAATCTCCTCAACTTACCTTATTAAAACGAATACTAGGATATTCAGTGTGGGTTTGCTGTTTATCCAAGGGCTGCTTACCTAACAAGTAAGTTGTTCTGTATGAAGATTTTTACAACTCTCATTGTTGTTTTAATTTAAAAATATACGGGAGGAATTCTACATTGTGCAATTGTTCAATCAAGGCAAGCATTTTGACTTGCAGGACAGAACGATTCCCACATCTCCTCTCCTCACTTGCTGTTCTGGGGTTCTCCTGATGGCACTCAATAGTTGATTCCTGAAATATGTTTTTGTTCTGCTACTGTATCTTAACTTACCACATCACTAGCGCCGGAAAACTCATTGTTAACCAAACTTTCAAGAGCCATCCACCGCACTGGCCTGTTTTCATTGTCTCCGAGGCAATGATAATCCATGGGAAATAGATCTCTGGACAGGGCATTGTCTGTAATCTTCACCTGAAGTGCATCATCAATGCTGTATATTAAAATACACACAGACAACCACTTAGATGGGTAAGTTAAGCTCTTTACAGTCATATGTTAGCAGCACTATCTAGGTGACACTCAGGAAATGACAAGGCATTTTTAGACATACTCTAGCCTACTATGCCTAGTGCAAAAACAATTTGGAGTAAGACATGTATCAAGAACCTTGATGTCATTTTAAAGTATTTTTTTATTTTTAAATAAAAAGCTAACAAACTGCATATTGGTAGCGTGATACTTTCCTATTTCATTGCTCCATTTGTCGGTCAAAATATAGAATGACAGCATGTGCAGGAATGTAGCCTATTGCCAACCGTCAACTAATACAAATTCTTAACAAATGATGGACGGATGCCCAAAAGTGGTACTGCATAAAGGCAACTGTGAACCTTAGCTTTTCCTATTAAGACAAGGGGGTGGCCCTATTGGCCCAAATGCTAAGAATCAAAGCACCCCCTATCTACAATATCTCAAGCACAGTTTCTGTTTCTTGTCACATTATATTGAGAGAAAACATTTAGAACTGGCTTTTTATGGAATAATGGCAAACAAAGACAACAATTCATTTGCATAAGCAACCTAAAACAATATGGTCATATTTTCCACAAATATGGTAGATGCTGGCCGATACCTACTAAGTTCTTCTAGTGCTGCGGTACCTCATACTTTGATTTCTGGTGCTCTCTGCAGGCATCTCTTTATTATGCTGCACCTTAAACATAAAACTAGCTGTGCCAGATAGGTGCAGCTATCAGCTTGCAATGGGAAAGAGTGACTTGTACAGTGAATGGACAGAAGACCCGTTAGAGGAGTATTTTACATTGCCCCCAACTGAGTGTCTTTAGCCCTTTACACTTCAGTACTTACACACAATTTCTAGCAGCCAGGTCTTTGTGAATGACCTCTCTTCGGGACAAGTAGCTCATTCCACAGGCAATCTGAATAGCCATATGTACAAGATCTTGTTGTGAAATTGCCTATAGAAATAGAGATTATAATTATAAACCTCCTTTAAATGAAAAGGTGGAGCTAATTTTTTTTAATAAATATGCTTGAATAAAAATTCCTAGCTTAGTCATTATTTGCTACCTGTCCAAAGTACAAGCTTTTCTTACTGTCAATTTTCACTGAAAAACTGAGATCCAAAGAGGTTGTCCTTCCGATAAAATGAAAACTGCTGGTGCTTGTCCCAAAACTCAGGGGCACCATATCTAATTTGCTTTCATAGTGGCAAAAACCAGAGTTAACAAAATTTCTGCTGCCTTTCCTGCTACCACTTCTGTGAGAAGGGAGAACAGAACCGTTTGTGTGTTAGGTGAAAGTCACTGTGATCTGCTCCGTTCTAGCTTTCACAAGGCACAGGAGTCTGATTATGTGCACTGGGCTCATAATTCAGCATCCTGAGATGCAGGAGTATGTTAACAAGCACATACTGTGAAGCTCTTCCTGCTAGATGACATCTACTGTGTCACAAGCCTCTTGTGATGGAATTAGTTTGTACAACAACATAAGCTGGTGGCCCTCTGAAGAACAATGTGGCCCCTGAAAACACAAATGTTGGCTTTCCTAATCTGGGAAGCAGAAGAGATTAAGACAATTTTGAGAAGCTGCCCTAGCAGGACTGGGAATATTAGGATTACACCTGCTGTTTCAGCCTTCCCCTTGTTATTACACTACTTTCCTATGTTTGTATTTAAGAAGCAACATGTATTTAAGCAGAGAATGAAACATTAAAGCAAATTGTTTTTAAAATATTGTTAGCATGTCTGTTTCCTACGGCTCTACTGATGCTTTCACTGACCTGGTGTCCTTTGGGTGTTTTGGACTGCAACTCCCATGAGCCTTGCGCTGGGGTCGATGGGACTGCAGTCCAACACTTCTGGAGGGCACCAGGTTGGCAAAGGCTGTTCTACTGAATGAGTTTTTCATACCTATGAATCCCTTGGAAATTCACCATGAACTCGACAGTTTGAATTTTAATTAAATCTAAATTGGTGACCAACTATTTTATATTCGACATTAGCCACTTCTTACCTGAGGATTGTTAGCTTCTACCAGTTTGCACTGTCGCAAAAACAGCTTGAGATTCCCCCAGTTCATATAAGGCAACAGTACCATTGGTTTTTCTCCTTCCTCTATACAAACGTGAGTAATGGGGAGCAGATTTCTGAAAGAAATATAGTTCTGGTTGGTTCTGGTGGTGGTGGGGATTCCATTAGCTGTTCAACCAACAGTCCCACAATTGTACAGTGGACCCTCAGGTTATGTTACCTTCGGGTAACGTAACTTTCGGGTTGTGAACGCGGCAAACCCTGAAGTGTATACTTCCGGGTTTTGCCATGCGCACATGCGCAGAAGTGCTCTATCGCGCTGTGTGCATGCACAGAATCAGCGCTTCTAGATGCGGACTTTTGGGGGTAAATACAGACCCCTGGAACGAATTAAGTTTGTGTCTGCAGGGTCCACTGTACTGCACAATTACCACCATGTATCTCATTTGCTTGATTTATAATTTAGGAAAATGTATACCCATTTTTTTAAGTACAAACACTGCTCGCAATCATAACCAAATAGCTTTTCGCCATTGCATTATAGGCCAAATTCGTTATTTGAGAATTCTTGAATGAAGCATATGCAAAGTACACTTCAATTCCAGTCACCTTCAAGTTTGCACTTTGCCTGACTGAAGATGGCTCACATGAAGACTAAAACTGAAGTCTAGTGAAGTGTTTTTGCAGAATAATAATTAATAACTGTTTTCAATAGACTGTTGTGAAACTAAACTTTAGGTGATAAGCCATCAAATTCCCAAACACAAATTAAAACAACTTTGCTTTCATTTTGAAGAGCGCTAACCTGTGATGAAGACCTCTGAGTTTACAGCTTTCTGTTAACATCATTGTCACTTGAACTTCTGAGGCCTGATCTAAAAAGGCAAAAGCTTGTTAGAACAAATTTGCATAGGCAAAAAAAAAGCAGCTAACAGACAGACACACATAAAATTCAAAATCCTCAAATAGCAAAATCACATACTAAGATATTAAACATTACTGATGAACAAGATCCAGACCAAGTTAATTGCATTAAAAATCCTATTGAAATCAATGGGATTTAAGTTAGACTTTGTGAACTAGGTCCCACTATTTTCAATAGGACTTAAGCATGAGTCACATAGCTTAAGATGAAATTGACAAGATGTTGCAGTGTGGTGGGTAAAAAAGAAAAGGCTGTCACAGTCCCCTTGTGGGGAGAGATCACAGAGAGGAACATATGAAGCTGCCTTAGAACAACGATCCACCTAGCTCACAAACTCTTCGTTATGGCCAGTAGTACCTCTCCAAGGTCTTTCCCTCAGCCTTGATACCCCAAATCTTTTAAAGAGATGCCAGAATCTGGACTTGGGAACTTGCGTTCTGCCACGGTCTGTGGTCACTAAATCTTTATAATAAACTTAAGGCAGTGGCTTGCCTTCCTTGTCCTTCCACAAAACTTCTGAGGGGGCTGAGATGAGGGGCCATGAGATGAAAGCTTCATGTGAAAAAGGACCAGTGAATTCTGACAATCAGCTGAACACTGAAAATAGTTCACTCATTTTTAGATGCTGGGACCTGTAACTTCCTGTCTCCTCGGGGCTATGAGCTTCATATTCCACACTAGACAAAAATTAGCTAGTGCTATGGTCCCTCTTTACCTACCATTCAGGCCTTTTTTCTTTCCTGTGTCCCCTTTTATCTCCCAAGCTGCAGGGCTAACCTACTAGACTATGGAGTAGTCTTCCCTCAACCATATATTTCTCCAAGGCTCAATGGAAGCCAGCCGTCTCCCAAGTATGTACTAGCCCACCAAACCAGCCCCTCTCTACTTCTTAGGGGGTCTCCATGTTTGGTTCAAAATACATACCTGAAATATACACACCCAATTCAATAAACTGAAGCCAGAGGCAGAAAACTTACTAGAACGCGACCTGTTGGAATTCTGCGATTGTGGAAGAGGTTTTGCCCCAACATTCATTTTTCAATACATCTAAGAAAGAACTATTTTGCAGAAGCAATGACTATCCTATAACCTGCCTAACGCTGAACAAAAGTCATGCTGAAAGCCTACCTTTTACTGTTTTTACAAACATCTGCTTTTCTTTAGTAGGGTCTTTTTCTTCTATTAGCATTCCATGGAAAATTCGACCAAATGTGCCTGAGGATGAGAGCAATGAACGAAGAAAATGAGGTCAACAGAAATTTGTATACACATTCAATAAATCAACAGCGAAGGGAAATCAAGGTTAGCAGTGGACTCTCCTCTTGTGAAACTTCACATCCATCCATGGCCTCTTTGTTCAGCATTTCATCAACCTTTTCATAGTTGGCACTTCAACCATTATTTGCCGGTCTAATTTAGAGGAGTTCAAAGTGAGATTGCCAACATAAGCAATAGAAGTTTTAACATTTCCGTGAAACCCTCTTTTGCTAACATTGTGGATTAGTAAGATTACCTGCAAAAATGTAGCTCACAGATTAGTAGAGAAACTGATCAAACCTTAAAAAATATGCTGGTTTACAAGACTGACCAGAAGATTAGGAAAAAATAAAACGAGGCCCTGTTTTTCCCAGTTTAGTTTCATTAAGCACCTTACCAAGATTTCAGAGAAATAAGATGTATCGTCAGAAAAGTTTTGAGATGTATTTGCCCAATTCAATTTCCCCATAATATTCCCTATACCCAGGATAAGCAGCAATGAATATAGTATGCTTTTCAAAAACAGTATGGATAAACTCATTATGTACTAAACATAATCCTACACATCTAACCTCTTAAAAATGGAATTGCACACTTATCAGACACATCAGTCTAGATTAGATATAATGGTCGAACCATTGTTAGAAACCTGCCCATTTTTTTGTTGGTTATTTAAACAATCCACCCTACTTATACCACCAGTCATTTGAGGTATCAACAATACACAGAAAAGGCCAAGAAAAATGAAAAGCATATCATCTGATCGATTGCATATTGACACATATGAGGAACTGTTTACTTGTACCTTCTTGAAGAACATCTTTTAATGTTATCCTCTCTCTGGAGATTGCTATGTCCTTTACTTTAGCCTTTGCCTCCATCAATGTTACACTTTTAAGGTCATTCTTCTCTATTCGTAAAGTAGGATAACCTGAGGAGCCAGCAGATCCAAACAATACCAATATAAATACCAAATGTAAATAGGAGTATTCATCATTATCTAGAGATGAAAGTATGCTGCAAAAAAAAAACATGCAGGAAAAGAAACCTATGGCCCTGGATAGTACCTTTAAAGTATTTAATGTTTTGCCACAGGATGCAATAAGAATAATGATCTTCTGGTTAATTACTGAGTATCATACACATTACAAGATTGAAACAAACAAGAAAGCAAACACATTGCCCTCTTCTGGGCTTTAGAAGACATTGCTGTTGGCTTTTTGCAGTATGGCAGCGCTGCAGAGAGCTTGCTGGGGAAACCATGCATTAAAAAGGGACTCAAAAATAGCTTAAACAAGGTTTTAATTACAAAAACAAAAACTCCTTAAACACTAAATACATCAACAACAAACCAGACCCAACCACCAACCCAACCCCAGGGTAATGGGAGAGCTAGGTGCTGCTCCTTATATACTACACCCAATTACCAACACAGCTTAATCAATACAACTCAGCAGCACCTGCTATGTTTCACAGCTGTAAAGCTGGGTCTCGTTATTTTGCTCTGGCCCTTGCTCTGGCCCCTTAAAGACATACACATCGGGTGGAACAGTGATGAACCTTTACATTTAAAGAAACCATTCAACAATTGCTATATGCAAAGTGAATCATGTGTTTATAATTTTAAAAAAATTGGTAAAGCATCTCAAAATTATTTTGGTTTCTAGTAAGAAATGTTCCAACGCCTTTCACAAGGACTTTTGTTTATGTAGACTGGACGAAGCTTTATGCAGATGGTCAATCTGGAACATTCATAGCAGCAAACTGAGAGGTCTCTTCAGCAGGAGGAAAGGTTACATAAACGAAAAAAACTCTCCTGCTCCAATTCTTCCCAATGTCTCAAAGAGCTGCAGTTGCAGAGACTGATCCTTTACTTCCAAGAACCGTTTCTTGCTGGTATTCCATTCTAGTCTAATGGGCTCAGACGATCTAGACACTCATAGATATTACTGTTTTTCGAAACCTCCTTGAGGTTTTTTAGAATCAAACATTATCCTAATTGTATGAAATTGCTAGGGCATTGTCCTTTCAAACAGTTTCTGATCTAGCACATCTTAATGGTTACCTTGCGGCCGCATAATAGGGAAGTGTCAAAGAGAAACTACTAACAGCAGTGCAGTCTAACGAACTGTTGCCCCAAGAACAGAGGCACAGAATATTTGGCCCCACTGTCTGGGGATGATGGAGGCTATAGCCCAAGACCATCTGGAGACCCAGAAACAGAACACAAGTGAAACAGTAATCTTCCCATCTGTGATTCCCTGCAATTGGCATTGCATACTGCCTCTAACAATGAAGTTAGAACACAGCCAAATCCACTGATAAGAAAATTACTTACACAAGCAGTGATGATGGATGCTATCATTCAACCCACTTTGGGAACATTTGTAGTATTGTGCTACATTCTGGGAACCTCTTGAAATTGTGGGGTGGGCACCCAGAGTGTAATGGGACAGGAAACATTTCTTTTCCCCCTACGCCTGAACCCACATCATTCAGGGGGATCCCCCCGTCTTTTTGAAGGAATACGGGTGGGGGCAGCAAATTGTCCTTCATGAGCTTACTGAAGTTAACTTATTTTAGGATCCATGTCAATTGATTCAACCAATTTAAAAGTATGGTGAAAATTAACAATTATGCATTCTAGTCCTTAGATATACAGAGAAAAGTTTGAACACATGGCAACAGTGTCTGCTGCAGTCTCACAAAGGAAAAGGGCATGGGCATGTCAATAATCTGAGGCAGCACAGAAGAACACACAGAAAAAATGATTTGACGGTCATCATCCTACCCGTACACATTAACTGTTTTGCCAGCAGTCTGAAAATAAGTGCAGGCTGAGATCTAGCAAAGAAACAGACACTCCTTCAGGGGGATTGAACATTTATATAGGAGAATCAGGGAGGAACCTTTGAAGAAAGTCAGGGTTCTCTATGGGTTGAGAATCCCGTTTCTCATACAATGTACAGTATTGTGATCTTATAGCCCAGAGAAACAAAGGTCACTAGAATGCCAACTCTAGACTTTTCACACATTTTCCTGCTAGTCAACATCGGTATGGTCTCTTAGATCACTAAGACTAACACTCATACATAGAAAGTTGAGGTGTGTGGGTATCTGTAATTAGATTAACACTTACTAGTAATTGGTGTTGCATTGTTTGGAGTGTCAGCTCTCAGGTACTGTGTTGTTTGCGTTGAGGGCTGAGATAAGCCTTGAGAACTACTGCTGTCACTAATGCTGTTTTGGAAAAGAAAACACAATCATTTTCTAATTTTCAACCACTTAACTTTTGCTGAGGCTAAGATACCACTTCAGTTGTGCAGTTAAAAAAGATTAACAAAACCAGACTTCTCCAAAACTCAACTTGAATATAGCAAAAATGTCAAAAGCTTGTAATACTTTAAATGAACATCAGAACATGAAAAGGCATTCAAATAGCATTTTGATTAGTAACGTTTTCAATCAAATCAACCGTAATTTAAGCAATTACACCTTTAACTATTGCAAATCTTGCCGAAAAGGAAGACAAAATCTGTAGCGTAGTTGGGAAAGTCCAAACATTTAAGTTTGTAGATTGAGTTCTGATGTGTTATAGGTTTCAAATAGATTAGAACAGATGTAAGGGAAACTATACTGGGCCAAGCATTTTTCCAGAGTTTAGCTAGTGATATGTACAACAGAAGTCAGAATGTTCTTGTTTATGTCCCCAACAGAGAAAAGGAGTTGGACTGTGCATATATAGCACTTGGGGGGGAGGACCCCTCTATTGAGTATTTGAACCTGTCTTTGTAAATTAACTATGACCACAATAAAGAAATGCATCCGTTTTTTAAAAAGAGTAACAGGCACACATTTTAAAACATATTTTCAAGTATTTTTCAGTGTTGTTAAAGGGTTCCCCACCACCACCAATAAATCACCCCTTACTCCAAGAATCTTCACTTTCAGTCCAACTGTTAGGGATGTGCAGATTGTAAGTAAGGAAATGAAGCTTAAGAATATTATTTAAATGGAGAGAATCTAGGGGTGGTAGAATCCCAAGAAGTATCAGCATTCCTTAACCAGTGCTATTTGGAACCTATTATGATTAATCTTAACTCTATTTCATGGAATATGCCAGTCCCTTAGAGCAGCCCCACTAGCATAGGCGCAACAACCATGTAGCTAGCAGCCTGTTTTCACAGAGGGCAGCCAGATGGCTATGTGAAGTCCACAAAGTCCAGATGGCTATGTGAAGTCTACAAACATGAATGCAATAGTACTCTCCCACTTGTGTTCCCCTGCAACTGGTATTCAGAGACATACTGCCTTTGAAACTTGAGGTAGTATTAAGCCAACATGGCTAGCAGCCTGATAACTTAGTAAGTCTTGTATTGCATTATCTAGGAACATTGAAAAATAAGTTATATACTGCACTGACATTAAGTTCTCAATGTCAACTCTGCCAAAGCCTAGGAGCTACCTTTAGTGCATCAAGAAGTCCATATAACGTCTCAAACATGAAAACTGGAAAGAAAATTGAAGTCCACATTTTTTCTTTACCTGTCTTCCAATTCTATTCTCTTCATACTGTGAAGATGCAAAACAGCTAGTATTATTGCTACCAGGAATATGACTGCACAGCAAACTCCTACACTGATATAAAACACACGCGTAGAAGTGGTGGGAGCTGCATTTACAGGATCAACTGAAATGGAAGAGCAAAGCATTACTGCAACAAAATGGATATAACATTTGCCAGCTTCAGCTAAGTACACATACAAATAAATAAGTAACATGTTTATTTTTATTTTCCTATTATACTGTAGTATTTAATTTAAGCTTATGGTGAAGGAAAAAAGTGACTTCCAAGATTAGTTTTAGAAGTCTAAATATAAAATATTGAAAACAGTCACTAAGAGATGCCTAGAAAAACTAAACATCATAGCCTTTAGATACAAAACCTCTACATTAAAGTCTTCTCTAAGCCTTGTTTTCCTTGAAGTACAAAAAGAGAAGACTGATGAGTACCAAGGACAGAGAGATGCCCTCCACTACAAAGAACTCAGCTAATTATGCTAATAACTCAACATGAAAAAATTATGAAATTGCTTCCACCAAAAGGCCAATGGAGTTTTTTTGTAATATAATATCTTCACTAGCAAGTTGCCTTCTATTTACTGTTCACAGGAATTCAATTCATATACCAAAATATGCAGCCATGTAACATGCAAATTCAAAAATACATTCCATAAAAAGGCTGGTAGCAAAACTAATCTCTTACAGATCTGCTTGGTGGAGTACCTGGTTCACAACATGATAATCAATAAAAGAAGCATGAAATACAAAAATGCGAAAGTACAAGCTGCTCGGGATTTATACTTTTTAATTTCCATTAATGAACAAAAAGTCTGTCTCTTTAAAAATCTGACCAATTTTCCTTATCTAACAGCAAAAGGGGAAGAAATGTGTTTGAATTATGTAGACTGATGATTTTAAAAGAAAATGACAAAGATCCTCAACTTCTCCTGCATGCTGCATACGAAGAATGCTTTCAGGTATATTTCATTTAAAAATATGAAACACATTTACTTACAAATAGCTTTGCTGCTATTTTTGTCCAATACTGGTGGTTTTACTTCTAGCTCAGGTTCTAAAGGCAAAAGGGGTAAAAAGGGACATTTGATATCACTTTTCCTCTGAATTTTACTTTTCATACCAAGACAATGAACAGAAGAACACTTTATTCCATCTTCTATCAATACTAAGTCAAAAGAATATCTGTCAAGCTCTGGCAAACCTGAGAATTCAATGTAGTTCAGCTACTATAAGGAGGAAGTAACATACCACATAGTAGCACCAACCACAAGATTTCAGCAGCATGCAGACTGGTCCTTTTACTTGCCTTGAAATAAAAAATAAATACAATGCTAACTTCCAATGGTTGACCCTTGTTTAAACATGTGCCCATGAAAGAACATAAGCTGAACTTTCAGATGTAAAACCCGAGAACAGAACAGGGATAGATTTAGCACATGGATACATTTGTATTTCATCCTTTGTGTTTCATGGGAACACAATATTTAACTTTCAAGCTTTCCTGTAATCATTGCAACTATTCATTCCCATGAGTAGATGCTATTGAGAAGAAATTTATTTACTGTATTTCAAATCCACCCTGCAACCCAAACTTTCTCAGGACACGTAAATGTAGCCAATGATGTTAACCCTTCCCTAGGTCTCCACCTTTCTAGAGGTCTGAAGCATATTGGTTATGGGTAGCTTCTGTTTCCAGTCATGCATCTTGGTTTAAATATTGATTTCCTGCATTCCCAATGTTAGTAATAATCCTTTCTGGTCAACAATACCCCTTTTACTGAGATACTGCTGCAAAGTTTTAGTACTAGTAAGCAAAGCCCTTAAATCACCTGCTCCCCTTAAAGGCCAGACCTTGTACCAAGATTGCCTGGGCTTGGTAATTTACTGAGGTTTGGCTGGAAGTGCAGCAGGGAGAGCCTTCTTGGTGGTGGCATCTCAGCTTTGGAATTGCCTTCCCTCTGAAATACAACTGGCACACACATTGTTGGAAGCTCGACACCATGTAGAGCCTTGGTTATTTGCCCAGACCTCTGCGGAAATGTATTGTCAGATTGCATCGGTTTGGAATTGCCTTGCTTTATGCCGTTTCATGTTGGTTTTTGTGCTGTTTTTTTGAATATGGAATTGCTTTTTGCAATGAACAGGATAAAAAGGGTTTAAATAAATAATGTTGCCGACATCTTTACAAACGTACAATAAGCCAGCAAGTTTAAACATCGTATCACAATATACAAAAAAAATTCCTTTAAAATTAAACAAAAATAGTATACAAGTTGCAGTTGAAAAAGAAAATATTGGAACGTCATAATATATTAAATCAATTACGTTAGTATTGAGCATTTATCAATGTTTTCAAAAATCAATAAACAGTAGCCAAGCCTTTTCAAAAGTTTGCGCTTTTCTTTCAACCCCTTAATAGGCCAATATTACTAAGTTTGCAGCAAAACTCCTGTGTTTTATAGAGTATGGCATTTAGAGACAATTACAGTCTTCACTGCAGTTATTGGGTATTATATTTTCTTTCATCTGCACTTTCCTTCAGCTTTGTAGAAATTCTTTTCTCCACATTTATTGGAAGCTCTTTTTGACACATTCTCTGCTCCAGTACACCCCTGACCCCAACACCCCTCACCTCACACTGCTCAAACAGGTCTGTCCAGTACTCTCAAAGCCAATATAAACAGATCTGAAATGTCTGCTTCCAACTAGGCAAATTACAGCTCCCAACACTGGTGGCAGCTCCTACACACTTGCTTTCTCTGGTGTTGGGTGGGAAGGGAAAGAATAGGAAAAGGGTGGTGGTGGAGGGACTCTAGCTGTGTGCAATGCAAGTGAAAAAAATTACAAAGCTGTATTGCCCCTTTAATATGAACAGTGAATAAAAATATCTTACTTTTGTAGCACATTTTCCTTCGTTTGAAATTTAAGACTGTGATATTTTTGGAAGCATTAATGGTCATGTTGAGCTGCATTAGTACCGTAACATCAGAGTCTAATCTGCCTGTGCAAGAGAGTTCCACCCGAAACACTGTAAATAGAAAAGCCACATACATACATGTTTTTAAAAGATAAAATGAAAAACCACACACTTTAAATCAGCAGTGCAAAACTGCCTTAATTCCTGAGTATTTTTAATTCCTTTGTTACAGCTTTTTTAAAAATTTAAGGCATTTATACCTTTAGCCAAAAATGCTCTCAGGGTAACTTTTAAAAGTAATTTAAAAAACTGACATGATTTCTTGATTCCTCCTTTCATGTTCCTTAATAAAGTTAAGAATAACCCTGCTAGATGAGACCAAAGTCCTTTCTAGTCTGGTATCCTGGTTCCCACAGTGGCTAACCAGATGCCTGTGAGAGGCCACAAGCAGGACATGAGTGCAACAGCCTTCACTCACTCTTGCTTTCCAGTGGTTGCTATTCAGTCGCTGCCACTAACATTAACACTGATATTGGAGACAGTATATAGCCAGCAGAATTAGGAGCTATTGACAGTTGTATTTTCCATGAATTTGGCTTGAATTTAGACAAACCGCGCTTCGGCTAAACAAACTATGGTTTATATTCAAATCATCCTTTTCTCTAATGCCTTCTTTTCAAATTAATTTTATTGTACAAACTAGTGATATACAGACCACCTTCAATATATGAATATGTAAATGCCCCCCCAACACACAGGTATAACACATTGACTTTATAAACATTGTATTCATAAAACTAGGAATTTCAAAATCAGCACATGGACAGTAACTTACATACCCACATAAAACACTGAATTCTTTTCAAAGATTAAGAAACCAAGATTTGAAACTTGACAATGGCTTATATAGGGTTTCAACTAAGATACTCAAAGCAGACCCACTAAAATCAATGAAGTTACTTGAGTCTACTCATTTCAGTAGGTCAACTCCAAGTATAATTAGCTTATTTTTATTATATTTTTTTCCCCAAACAGCTTAATACTTAAAATCTCTAAGCAAATCTCAAAAATACAGACTTGAAAACAGGTAAGAGAAATCTTGGAAAAACAGGGTCCAGTTTTACAAGTCAGGGAAAGCCTGATGTACGTTTTTGCAACACATCTGAAAAAACTGATGGGATGGTGCTTCACATACAGTGGACCCTCGGGTTATGTTACCTTTGGGTAATGTAACTTTCAGGTTGCGAACGCAGCAAACCCGCCTCTAGATGTGGACTTTTTGGGGTACGCACGGACCCCTGGAACGAATTAAGTTCGTATCCGGAGGGTCCACTGTATTTCAGAAGGAAGGGCATTCCACGGTGCATGTGCAATAGGTGGAGGAAATGTCCATTTGGGGATCACCGCCTTGTGATATTCTGTAGGGTTTGGTGCCACAAGTAAAATTTCCCCACACAATCAAAGTGATCTTACAGTTCTATACATGGGCAGGCAGTCCTTCAAGTAAACCTGGACCTGAGTTGTCCAGGGATTTATATTAATTTTATTACAGACTTTACATTCCTTCTTCCAAGGTTCATATGCTAATAGCAGACACTGAGCACACCCTAGTAGCTAACTGGCAGCCAGGGCAATTCCCTCAGCATGTGAGTAATATCTGCACATTCAGGTACTTCACTCCACAACTGAGTCACAGTGCTCTGAACCAGCTGCAGTGTGCAGATCAATCCCAAAGGAAAAACCACATGAAGCACATTACAGCAGTTCAACCATGAGGTTACCAACACATGAATCACGGCAGTGAAGGTATCCCCATCAGCACATAGCATTACAGTTTGTGTAATGAAAGACTACTTACCTGATAAAGTACGAGGGACTTCTCCTTGTTCAGAAATATTTGCTTGTGGCATATCCATAGCCAATAGATTATCAACCTGAAATCCCAGTTTATATTCAATCTGTAATGATATGCAGAACAAGCCAAAAAGAAAATATGCTCAATAAAACGGTATGTATTTGCAATGATTTCTACTTGAGATAAATTAAGAACCAAATTATCAGAAGCATGTTGCTAAGTGTCCAACAAAAATGAACAAGTTAAATTCAGAGGATGAAATCAGACATTGCCTTAATCTACATGCATCTCAACCAAGCAATTATTAGGGGGAAGGGTAGAATCTGGATCAAAAACAGAGAAAGGGATCTGTAAGCAGAACAGATACTAAACCATACCAAGATGTGGAGATGACCAATACAAAATGACAGGCGGGAATCACTTTCTGCCAGAAAAACACATTTCCATTCACCCCCAGAGATCTACCCAAAGACCTAGTTTTTTATACTGCTAGAACAGTTAATATTTCAGCTTTACGCTGGATGCCAAAATATCACTGTTTGAATTATATTTAAATATTCAAACCACAAGCCAGCTATCCTTTTAAATGTCAAACAACTTTTCTGACTCATGTGTGCACTGATACAATTTAATACATGTTGTATGGTTTCCAATCCTGAACTCGAGGCAAAATTATGGTTTACAGATATCTGAATTGGGCAAACTATAGCTCCTGAGAAACAGGGAAGGAGGGACTCTTATGTATTTAAAGATGAAGCAGCACACAAGCCTAAAGCTCATTCATGAAAACCAAACTGTGTTTAGGACAAGTCATTTGAATCAAACCTATGAAATGAAGAGGAAAGCCTTCTCACACACTATACTTCTTAAGTGCAATCCTAGTGTATGTCTAATAAGAAATAAATCCCACTGTGTTCAATGATACTTTCTCCTTGGTAAGTGTACACTGGGGTTTTATGGGTGCAATCGAGTTTACTTTCAAATGGACAATATTTGAGAATGGGATGTTGATCATGGACACACGCTGCACATTCTGCACAAGTTCATGGACTTCTGCTTCCTTCCCCCAGCTCCATGCTTGAAGCTGAAGAGGGGGCGGACAGAATCCATGAAACTGCTCCAGGCAGCAAAGGGTCTCAAAACCCCACCACAACTGCTACAGACAAAGCTGCAGTGTGTTATACCAGCTGTAGCACACCTTACACATGCAGCTTCAGTCTTAGGTTACCCACCCTGGTTAAGCCCTCCAGTGCCACACAATGAATACTGTTGCTTAATTCATCCACATAAAATAATAGTTGGTGCTTACCTTGGCCTTGGAATGCCAACTGAAATGGAGGCTGTTTGTCTCACTTGGTACCAGCAGATTAAAGGACAAAGCGTAGTGATTGATAAGGTCATTTCTCACATAATAAAGTTCTGCATCAATACCTAAAACATGTTTAAAACAAAGAGGGGGATGAAAATGAAGTTAAAAGCTAAGCTACAGCCACAGGCAATTTAGTAAACAAGAAATAAAGATTACTTGTTTAAGAGGAAGAAAAGTAACATTTAGTTCCAGTTAAGCCATTTTGACCCAATTTACCTTCAACATTTAAAGAAATGTTTAAAATCAACTACAGTTTTTCTCTCTCACTCCCCACCTCCTTCTCTACTCGTTAATGGGGGAGGAAACAATCCAGAGCCTGGCTTGTTGTGGCATGGGAGCACTCTGAGCAATAAGCCTAGAATAAACCTTTATTATAAAATATGAATTAATACAGCATGCAAACCAGGCTTTGGAATTGATAAAATCTCAGGTAGAATAGATTCATGAGTCCTTGGCATCAATGGAAACTTTCCTCCTATTGCGTATAGCTGGTGCAGTCTCCTCCAATCCCACATCAGTTCCAATCAGGACCACAGCAGGAGCAAAGGACTAAAGCATTCCTCTTCCCCACAGTTCTGATGAGGCTAAGGGGTGTGTGTCAATGTTTGGTTGTAGTTGTTGTTGTTTTAAAAAGCTGCTATGAAATACATTACTATGGGCTAAGTCATGTCTAGTATGGAAAAAGTATGGAAGGAGATAAGGAAAACACTACAAAAAGTTATGAATGTCCAAGGAAACGTGTACATAGACTCTCTGATCAACTGCAGACAAAACAACAGAATAATAATTGAATAACTTATTTAACTGGCATAAAGAAAAACTTTTCTGGAATCAACTAAACAAATCTACTTTAAAACTCTTCTGACTTGCAGACTCCATTAAGCAAGCTCATATATAGAAAGCTTAAGGCTCAAGGATCTAGTTTCTTGTTACTGGATCCTACCTAACTTAAAGCAAACCACATGACAAGGCCTGCTTTTTTTTTTTTTTTTTGCTTTAGATTTTAAGAGGAAACACTGTTGCACAGGCAAACCCTAAATCACATTAACATATATCTTTGTGCTCCACACTTGGACATAAACCAGAGAGAATAAATTAAATCAAGCATAGAACAAGAAGGTAGGCTTATGCCATACCACAGAAATACAAGGTCATTCTTTAAAGATTTTAACATAACACATTATGAAGCAGACAAGGAGAGGCAGGGATTTCATTCTTAGAATGAAGGATGCTGAGGAACCCTTGTATTCATTACAAAACTGGATCATGTCACTCTAGAAGCCTTAACAAAACCGTGGCTTTTTCAAGGGGCTCTTGCATAAAAGAGCTTTAAATCTTTGCAGTTTTAGAAAATACAAAAAGCTCTCCTCAATTAGCATGGGAAAGTGATTTTTGTTTATTTAAGAGGGGCTCTTGTGAGAACTCCCCCCCCTTGAGGAGCAAGACAGACAAACAATAGGTGGGTTTCATTTTCTAAACGTTCAACAGAGTTTGAATTACTAGAAGCAATTCAAGTATTATCTTCATCTTTATAGCTTATGTTCCTTGTGTCTCCTGTAAATTAAAACAATTTCTATGTGTCAGTTTGCCTTTCTTTTTAACAAGTGGGTAGCTTTTTAAAAGTTAGGAATGCTTTATCAGAAATTTAAGCTATCATCCATAATCATTCAGATGGGACTTTTGTAAGAAAGCCTTTGTATGTGGACTTGGAAACATGCAATACAAGTTTTCCTCTTAACCAAGTGTGCACAAAATCACATTTATTATATTAATCACCTTCCTTTGACTTACATATTCTGCTACAATTCACATCTTACCAACAACCATGCATAGCAAGAGCTAATATCCACTGAATGACCTACAGGAACTGGCATGATCCTAACAGTTCACAATTCTATTCAGTCTCATGGAGCAGAAGATATTTCCGACTTCTAGTTTGCAATCCAGTTCATGTGTGCATCTTATGGTATGAGAAGGTGGAAACTGCACAAATATGTCCCTTTCCTCTCTCACTTGATGCTGTGCAAGGCCAGCAGCCAACTGATTTCTCAGTTTTGTTTCCTTGGCGCTTACATCATCATGAAAATTTATGCTGCTCCCAACCAATTGATTTTGTTTGAGCTTCACCAAGTTTAGTAGTTGAGACATAAATGTAACAAGAGATTTGAGAACTTCTGGCACAAACTAAGAAGAAACACAACAAATATAAATTCTCATGGATACTATTGAATACACAAAACATAGGAACGAAAATCCTAATGTAGCTAAAATTCATGCCTTCAGTTGCCACAGTAGTGCCAAAGGGACCCTTGAGAATGTCTTTGTTTCTCTTCCCATCCACTACAATGCAATTCATGACTGAATAAATTTGTTTACTATGAGGTATTAGGGCAGGGTTGTTAATTGTGCCCGCTGCAACCAATCACGCTAAATAGAAGACATTCTACATCATTTAGGCTGTGCACCATACATTTAAAGCAGATTTTTCATCTCCAAAGAATCTTGGGAGCTGTAGTTTCCCTTGAAGACAGTTGCAATTCTCAGCCCCCTTCACTACAGTTCCCAGGATTCTTTTTGGGGGGGAGGGAGATTAAAGTTTGAATGTATGGTGTGTACACAGCCTTTCATAGCTAATTAAAGGAAGCTAAGGAAGAGATCCTGGATCTAAGAACTAGATAACTCTAATTTCATGTTGCTTTTTGCATCTTTTAAAAACAGGCAAGAAGATATCAAACTGTCTTATATTATGCTGCCCCTATCTTTGCTCTTCTTTTGCACATCTAAGTTACATTGCCTATGGGCACGTTTGACCAAAATGTTTACTGCATGTCAGATACATAATGTCAATGAATCCAACATGGGAAATTGACTTCCATAAATCACTCCCCGCCCCCTGCAATCAAGAGACAGTGCACACACATGTACTTCACTTTTCCAAGCAATCCGAATAAAAGTCAAGGAGAATTAATTGGAACCATTAAAAACACAGAGCTGAAAGAGGAAGTGAGAAAGTGCACCTCTTACAACTTCCTTCTTCAGCTCTATGTACTTTTGCAAGAGAGAAAAAGGGGGCAGTGAGGGGGTAGGCTTAGAGGCTTCATGAGAATCAAGTGAACCTCAAGGACACCACTGTGCACACAAGCATCATGCTAGTTTTTGATGGGCTATATAGCTAGAATTGTACAGACACCATCTATCTGAAGGCAAAGCATAACAAATTAGTTTCAAATTTTAAAATCCATTATTAATTACAAAGACAACCACTGGACATCTCATATCAATCAGTCATTCTTCAAATTTTGGTAATTACTAATCAGTCTCAAGACAAGGCTTCTCCAACCTAGTGCCCACCAGCTGTACTGGCTTCCAACTCCCATCAGCCCCATAAAGCATGGTCAGGGATGATGAGAACTGTAGTCCAAAAGATTAGAGGGCACCAGGTTGGGGAATGGTACTCTAGGCACTTTAGTGGGTTGAACAAGGTCACCAAGAATGCAAAGGAACCTAGAGACCTCTGCATCTACTACAGTCATTCAGGAGTAGATTCCCACCTCTACAGCGTCATTCACAGGTCCAGAAGATTATGAACCACTTACTGAAAATACACACTAGACACTGCATCCTGTAGGCACCATCACATAGGTAACTTAGACACTGCATCCTGTAGGCACCATCACATAGGTAACGGAGCACACAAAAGGTTTTAGAGCCTTGGGGAAGGCCTTAATCACTTAAGAGTCCCTTCTGGAGTCCTGACTTTAAAATCCAATGACTGTGTCTGAGAATTCTGAAGTTTGGCACCGACTCTAAAAGCAATTGTCCACATTATATAAAACATACCCAAAAACAGCACACTGCACTAAAATTTATGAACCATGAAGGGGGAGAGAAATCACGACAGTGTAATAAACCATCAGCACTGAATTAGTAAAATGATATATTTTATTAGACTACTGAGTGTTTAGAAATATAGTAAACATTCATCCTTTGAAAATTCTTTAGGCATGAACATTCAGAGCAAAAGTGCAATAAACACCTAAAGTTCTTTCAGGTCCTGGTGTGTCATTGCTCATCCCATGACAACAAATACTGCCAAAGATTCATTCTGCTGCATCAACATACTTTTACATCTAGAGTTGGTACGCGTATTTCAAATTTGTGGGCATCAGAATGAAGTTCTGGCCAGCATTAATTTTCTTCATGCCCTAACAATTTGGCCTCTGGAATTTATCCAGGCACTCTAATCTGCACAAAATGATCTTTATCTAAGCTTGAGTTCCACTCTGCCTCGTGATCCCAGATGGATATAGGCTGCCTCATCAAGAGCAAAGGGAACCGTGAAACACATCTGTATCAGCTGTACATGCACAGCTCCTTTGTACAACTGGAAAACATATTCAGCCATTTTAGCATCTGTCTCTACCATCTCAGACTTAGATATTTAATAAGCTGGAGCATCCTCAAAGAAGATACAGACAGTCAACTTAACAAAGTAAGCTCCTTCCTCAAGGTTGTTTTGCCTTCAGTAATTGTTACTGTGTAGTCATCTTTTCTCCCTGAGCACTATGTTAAAGGACAGTTTTCAGCTAAGAAATAATTGTTCTGCAATATATCACACAACTCCAGGCAGATATATTCAAGTAGGACCATACAACTGATGAGATGGTGACATACAAAAAATCTAAAAAGGTTGTGTTCAAAAGATTTTAAAAACAGCTCAGCCTTATACACTAAAAGATGCAAGTCTTTCAATGTGCAGTATCTTCATATTTTGCTAAGAGAAGCACTTAATTCAAATTAACATCCATATCTAAATATCAGATCAAAATAGAAGAGTAAATATAGATAGTATGTAAGTACTTTATTTAGCAGCTCAAACTTAATGGAAAATAAGACACCTAACAAGCACTGGCTCTCTTCAAACATTAGAATGCTAAACCATTGTTTGGTGCTACACCAACAAATATTCTGTTCCCTCACACACCAATTCAATAAATTAGTCTCTCAACAACTGCAGCACCTTGAAATGCCTTTCCACAGGAGAGGCAGGAATGTGGCACGCAGGTGACTGCCATGGGTAAGAGAATAGCTGAAAATCAGGTTAAAACAGCTCAGTTGAGTGGGCATTTGGATACAATTTATCAGGCAGTGATAAGAGATGTGAACATATGCTAGAGCTTTTCTGAGTTTCCCTCCCAGCTTTCCCCCCCCCCCATGCTTTTGAAAAGAGCATTTTCTAAGCTGTTTGGGTATTCAGTAATGAAAGCTGCTGAAAGGGAAGCTTCAAGTACTCCAGAAACAACTTTCAGTACCTGTGATTAATCATTAGATACTGTACCTATCTTTAATTAAAAGTTTGCAGTACATTATTACCAGAAGACTCCCCAATACCATGTGAGCAGTAAGTTGCAATGTATCAACTAAGAGATAGGATGGCTTTGAAAATGTTTGGTGAAGAGAGGCTACGACAAGTATAGCAAGAATTATAAAGAAAACAGGCCTTTTCACTTTTTCTTTTATAATTTCTCTGTGATACAATATTTTCTGCAGAAGTCCACAGGAAAGCAGAGTTACAGCTGAAGTAAATATCATAGATATGCAACAGGAACAGGCAACTGGCGATGTACAGGCAGAAGTACTACTGATATGCCTGGACCCCCCAAGCTATTTTTAGAATCTTAAAGGTTCTGGTTTTGTAATTATTTCCGTCATCCTTGTTCCATAGATAAGTTTGAAAAAGTGGAGACAATTATGTTACTAGGATTACGAAGGTGTGAGTAAAGGAGGTCTTGTAATAATCTTAGGGACCTACCAGAGAAAATAATGTCCTGCAACCATTGTTTGATAGCTTTAAAAGAGAGAAGTTATGAACATTTGAAGTTGCCACATCTGTCTAACTGGGTAGACCTAAAGTGCCTTGTGTACACCTACACAAGACTGGAGTGGATTTACACCACTGGATAGCTCAGTTGGTCAGAGCATGGTGCTGATAATGCCACAGTCACAGGTTCAATTTGCACATGGGACAGCTGCAGATTCCTGCATTGCAAGAGGTTGGACTAGATCATTCTTTCAGTCATTTCTAACTCTATGGTTCTATGAAGAATATTTTATCCATTCACAACTGTGAAAACTTTCCCGCAAGACATTGTGTGTACCTAGTCCCAACCCAATGAGTCTGAGATATACACAACCCTATCAAGTAGAACTGCTAGGCAAACATACAGGAACACATTGTAACACCCCTCTTTCTGCAGTTATACCCATCCTACAAAATTTAACATGAATCCGTCTTCTGTCAGTTTCTTATTTAATCACGCTTAGCACCTTCCTCCACATAAGTGATTCTTTACTTCCATGACACTTCAAACCTATGATACTTCAAACCTATTCTCAGGCCCCCTTGAAACTATAGAAAGCCTCTGTGACCTCAGACAAATTACCTAGTTTAAGGCAGCATCAGGAGAGCAAGCCAGCACATCTAAAGACAAGCATCTGGCTAATAACTAAATGTTGTTAATAATATAAATTTCCAAGCTACGAAAATAGACTTGTACAGAGAACACTGTTATACTGTAGCAAATTTATAAACAAATTGTGAAAAACTGTTTCTTTCTTTGACAGAAGTAAAATCACCCACATCAAACTACCTTTCTGTATTGACAAATTTCAGTTTTGAAGATTGCTTACTTTAATTATCATTTCTCCCCATCCCAACATCTAGTTAACCACAGACTTATAAACACGCACTTGTCTAGTCACCTGAGGCAAGTAAGCATTTCAATGAGAAGACCAGACAGTTATATTTTAATTTTTGTAATGTAGAAGAGACAGGGGGAGGAACATCAATGTATACATGAAAAAATGAGTTAATAATTATTATTTTGAGCTAGTAACTTTTGCAGACATATTTGCAGGACTGCTTACTCCTGAGTAAAATATGTCTTCGTAAGAGTGTGAATATTCATTACTGCATGTACAAATCAACAGCTTCAATAATAGGTATCTGGATATACAATGTGCCATTCAAATGTTATCAAATTCATTTTTTGAAAATACATACTGGAATAAATTGATGTGCTATGACACATAAAATTTTATTTCTGTGACTTGTGTTTTAGACTGAGATTTCACAAATTTATTGTATTCCATTAACAAGGCTTAAGCAGGACTAGGGTGACAAAATGAAGGCCATCACTGACCCTTCCATCCAAAAACACATTTACTTAAGAATCTCAGTGTTGTTCACTTTGGAGTGTAGGCAAAATTTGCCATATTTTGGTACATTTCATAAAGCAGTCACTATGCTAGGAACAAGATAAACAAATTAACATAATGTATAAAGTGTTTACCCAGTCAAGTCTTAAGGATTTAGCATCTCACAGCATGAACTTCTAGGGCACAGCTGCATAAAATAATTTATTGTGTATGCACTGTACAAGCAGTACCACAAACCAACCCTTGTAGCACGTAAAAGGGCTTGAGTCTGAACTGAGTGCGACCGTCCCTATTTGCAAAACACACCCACCCGCCAAGGAAAGTCTGCTGCTGCTGCTGGCCTTGGTTCTAGGCTTCTCCCGCTCCCTCCTCCTGCATCATGAAGTGGTTTGGGTGGCTTTTGGGTGGAGAATGTCAGCGCCTCACCCGGGCAGTTGCAAAGCGCGGATTTGGGAATTTGCACCGTGAAGCACATTTGAAGCCATTAGATCCCCCCTCCCTCCCCCAGCCACGTACTGTATTTTGTTTCCACCCCGAAACCCAAATCCAGCCCCCTCTCATAAAGCCCTGGCAAGCAGGCGAGTCGCTGAGCGGCATTAGCAGAGCAAGGCCGTACAAGGAACGAAGGCAGGACCAGCCGGGGAAGGGGGTGCCTGGCCAGACGCCCCCCACCCGCCGCCGCACGGCCCTCTCGGGATCCCCCTCCCCTCCCGGAGGAAGCCGAGCCTGGACGGAGACACCGCGGGGCCCCTCCCCCCCTCGCAGGCAGGCGCGCACGCGGAGAGGCAGCCGCCGCCCCTCACTCACCGATGAGGCGCCGCACCTCCTCCTGGCTCATGTAGACGCTCAGGCCGGGCCCGGGAAGGGGCGCCTCGACGGACCCCCCCGGAGCCTCGGAGGCCGCCGCCGCCGACAACAGGAGCAGGAGGAAGGGGCGGAGGCGGCAGGGCAGCCTCGCCTCAGCCGCGCCGCAGCTTCCATCTCCCCGGCCACCCCGCACCATCGCTCGCTTCCCGGCTCCCTCGGCGGGGCGGGGAGGGAACCCGGCGCCCCTCCCCACCCGCGAGCCCCTCACACTCGGCGGCGGCCGCTCATGCTCCGGCCGCGGCGCGCGCCCGCGCTCTCAGGGCCGGGAGTCATGGAGCAGCCTCTTCTCTTTTCCCTTCTCTCTCTCTCTTTTTCCCTCCCTGCGCGCGCGCGCGCGCACACCCCCCCTTTTCCGCCCGCCCCTCCGGCGGAGCCGAGTCAGGCGAGAGAGCGAGCGAGGCCTATCCCCCCAGTCCAGTGCGCGTGCGCGCAGCGCCGGCGGACGCGGCAGCCCGCCTCTCTTTGCTCTCGCGCTTGCGCAAAAGGGTCCACAAGGGGCAGGCGGGCTCCTGCGAGCTAGTGGTGGGGTTCGGGGTTTTTTTGCCCACCGCCCCCCCCTCCCTTCTGTATACCGTGACGTCCCATTTCACTGCACGCTGAGATTCACCTCCCCGAGATGGGATCCTGTGCGCGGTTTCCCCGGGAGTAAGTAAACGCATATTGGATCGTTCTGTTCACCTCTCTGGTAAGAGTGAGAGCAACTCAGCTGCAAAGCTGATTTTAAAAATTCCTGTGAAGGAACCTGCTTCCTTCGCCTCCTGCACAGTGTCATCACCGATTTCTGACGTTGCGAAGGGTCGTTTTGCATATATATTAAGTACTGATTGAATTGTCACTGGCTGCACTTTGGCATTTAATTGCTGTTAACTGGAGAATGACACTCCTTGCACCTGATGGAGTTCAGTCTGGTCCACCGAAAAATGTTATACCATGATAAAATTTGTTGGTGTTTAAGGTGCTGCAGCAAGACTGTTGTTTTTGTTCTACACCGTTATGTATGACAGAACCAATGTTTGTATAAAACCATAACAGAAAGAAATAAATATGAAAAGAACAACATGTCTGCTGAATAAAATAAATTGTCAGTTCTACTGTCATCATTCTCATTATTGGAGGTAGCCCCACCATATTGCCTTTGGAAGTGCTGGTGGCCTAGGGAGACTATGGGATGTATTAATATAATGAATGGAAACCATGTAACAGCGAAATCATCCCATTTCGCTTTACCCTCAATGACTCGCCTTTATTGGAGCCAATGTCCAGATAACGCTATGTCCTGAATTGGGTTGTATCATCCCTCCTTTGTGGGCACAGAGCCACCCCCCCCCCCCCCATGACTAGCTAGTTCCAGCCACACTGCAGCCAGTAGCAACATCCTAGTGGTCCCGGGCCCTAAGGAAGTTAGATTAGCTTCAACCAGAGCCAGGGCGTTTCCAACTCTGGCTCCAGCCTGGTGGAACGCTCTGTCTCATGAGACCAGGGCCCTGTAGGATCTGATTTCTTTCCGCAGGGTCTGTAAGACAGAGTTGTTCCTCCTGGCCTTTCCTTTGGAGCCAATTTGATTCCCTCCCCCTCTTTCTTTTTTCTTTTTCCTTTCTCCTCCTGTGATGAGGCTGCATTTTAATATTTTATTGTTTCAATATTTTAATGTTGTATTTTAATTTTGTTTTTAAGTTGTATTCATTCAACTTATTTTTATTATTGCTTGTTAGCCGCCCTGAGCCTGGCCTTGGCTGGGGAGGGTGGGGTATAAATAAAAATTATTATTATTAACATTATTACTAGCAGTTCCAGTCAGGAAGAGTGCTAGAATCAGATCTAAGTACAGCCTCAATCAACTCACACATGACCGCATATATATGTGGCACCAGGAAATAAATAAATACATTCAACTCCTGCAGAATGCTGGAGAGTCCTAGTGGCTTGCAAGGAGACTGTCCCTGGAGCCCAAAGAGGGCATCAGTGAGGGCAAAGGAAGCCCTGAAGAGACTGGAGGCACAGCGCGGCTTTGTTTAGGCTGCTCAGCCTCCTTGCCTAACAGCTGACGTGTGGGGTAGCACAGCAGCCGCCGCTTTTCCTCCTGCCTTCCAGCCAGCCTCAGAGCTACAATTCTAGTTGTGGATATTTTTAGATACAGATTGTAGACAGGACATTTAAAGAGTGGTTGATAGGTGCTCCCCCATGTACATGGGAGGACCCCTGCAGAGGTTTTGGCTGGTCATTTTGCCTAGTTCAAAAAATGCCTTCCAAAATTTTTGTTGTTTCATTGCTAATTTTAAAAGGACTAAACTGCTGTTTAAAATTGTTTTTATTTTTGCCATTTTTGCCTGCTGCCTCATCGGAGCATTTATTCCGCAATATAAATGTTTTAGCGATAATAAAGTAAAATAAAAGATTGTGTTTTCAGCCACTGCCACACAGCACTGGTTGCATTTTCCTGAATCAGGCCCACTTTATGGTTGCAACAGCGACTTAGCAGTGTATTAAAAGCTCATATTTGGTCAGGTTTCTACCGATCTAATTTATACAATCTACTTTCTCTTAGCAAATTGTCTTTAATGAGCTAGTGGGCAAAGCAGCTTTCATCAGAGGGCAGTTATGCTCTGAAAACCTCGGGGCAGAGTGTTATTTATTTATTTATTTATTTATTATTCATTCAGTAAGCCTGTTTGTTCCCAGAATTTTTTCCAGGATGGATGTGGGGTAGAAAAACTCAAGCATTCAGGCAGTTAGTATTTCACACAGCAGATTCTGGAGAAAGCATTCTAGGAACATTAAGAACATTAATTGAAGGCTATAACTGTTACTGCAACTGAATTAAATAAGCAGATGCATGTGGTCTGAAGCTGGAAAAGAGCAGAGCATCTGCACATTATTACAGCCTGTGGTTGGGAGCCTACATACCATTCTTTTGTTTGCCTTATAAGGGGAGCGGTGTGTGGTGTAATGGTGCTAAGCATGAAAGGGCTTTTCCTCTGGGATTTTACATGTGGCCATTGCCTATGCGCCTATTTCTGTATGTGTCTGGAATGTTGGCCAGGCTGCAAGGTAGTCGGAATATTAATTCATCCTACATTTCTGAAGCATTTTCATGGTAAATAGATGACAAAGCCATTGATTGTCCGTCCCGACTGCTAGCTGAGCATTACGTTTCCAATTACACACATGATTCTGTTTTATGTTTAGCAGACTAGAGCATAATTCGGTGGAAAAGATAAAATGTCTCTTTCTCCCCTGCTCCTTGTCTTCCTCCCTCAAAGGAAAAACGACAACATTGCAGACCAGCAGTGCCCTCCGGCATGCTTAGTTCTGCAGCTCAAAATTTGACATGCTCAAAGGCAGGCATAGATTTACATGTCTCCTTTCCTCATATGATTGCTAAAAGTGCATTGCTATATCCAGGAGACAGTGAATGTGCTATACTTGTATCTTGTCCATCCTTCAAGGAGATCTGAGTGGCATTTTAGTTTCACAACAACCCTGTGAGGTAGATAGGGTTGCTATATGTTCTCTTTTTCCAGAACACAGTCTTTTTCTCATGGGTATGTAAAATGAGAGTCGTCATAGTTATCCATAGTTAAAAGTAGAAGTTGGCAAATGTGTCCTCTTTTTTGCTCTTCAAAATATGGCAGCCCCAGAACTTCAGTGAACATCAGTGTCATGTCTTGGGCTATATAGCTGGATTAGTTTTATCTAAGGCAATGCACAAGTCACAGCACCTTAAGTCACTGGCTGTCAGTTGTCTCTGCTCATCTGTTTCATAATGCAGAAGAGTTGTTAAGCAGGTGTGCTAATAGTGGTGCATGCAGCACATCTGGAATTTGTGTGGAACTCCAGTGCCTGTAAGCAGAGTGGCAAGTGTTTTGGCTGCCATGTAATATGGTAAGCAGTCCTCTTAAAAAAGGAGGTGGGGGGGGGAAGAAACCAGTATTTATGAGCAGTAGTCAACAAAATAGTTTCACTAGTGCAAACATTAGCACTAGCACTGTGGGATTCCCCACCCCTGCACACACACTATACCTGTGGTTCCCATCCGGTGGTCCACAAACCCCAGGGGGTCTGTGTAACCGACCCAGGGGGGTCCGTGGCACATACTCATCAACTGTCCAGGATATCCCATTCGGGGGGGGGCTGTGCTCTTGCATGGGTCATGTGGCTCACGCGGGAGCATGGCCCAGAAAACACAAGCCCCGGTTTTGCATTGCGACATGTTGAAGGGTATGGTGTCACCATTCACATAACAAAAACTACCACAGAGATATCAGGGTTTTCAAAAGAAGGGGTTCCATGGCCCGGCTTTTCAAAAAAACAGGGGTTTGCAGTACTTAGCCCACTGGGAACCACTGCTCTGTTCCATTCCTACATCTGCTCCAGAGGGTTATGGGGAAACCCAGAACAGATTTAGAACAGATTCCCAGAACAGGGAAAGCAGAGGGAGATATCATTTGATTGCACACGGATAATTCCTTGTGCTGACAGAACAATCTGCTCAACGCTGCATTGAATACAAGCCTGTACGTCACAAGGCCTCACCTTGGCTGGAGTATTAGTCCTGCTGACCATACATGAATGGTGGAGAGGAGACCAACACACTCCATTCAGATGTTACAAAGACATGGGTTTTGTTTTTCCGTTCCTTATTTGCTTTTTTAAGATGGGAACAAGAAAGTTGTGGAAAGCAGCTCCTGGGCTGTAACCCACATTACAGCTCTAATATGCTTAAAACAGAAATTGGCAAACACAAGCTTTTGCATTACATTCCAAACAGTGAAAACATAAGGCTAACATGTGCTGTCTCATCAACAAACAGGCTCTCTCCTTAACAGTCATGTGTCCTGCTGCCACATCAAACAAGAAGGTGCGTGTGTCTTGTAATATTTGGTGTCAGCACATCCTGCCACAGGGGAAGCGGGGAGAGGCAGCAGGGAGGGGGAATTGCAATATTCATCCAACGTCTGGGAAAAATTGTCTTGTGAAACTGTGGGGGAAATGGCAATTTTCTCATTGGCTTGACACCCTGATCCAACAAGGGGGATCTGTATGCATTCCAGCTTCTGCAGGCAGGTTCGCTTTCTGGGTTCAGAGAACTGTACACATATAAGAACATTTCCTCCACATACTTGAGCTAGAAGTTTGGCTTCTGGGAGGGAGGGGACTTCAAGCGGTGGAGCGCAGTGAGGTAAGTTGGGGAAATGACTGGGTTTCGCTCCCATTCCCCATACACTCTTTTTGGAGTTAAAAAATTAGCTGCCTCATCCCCACTTTATAGCTGAACTAGCAAGCATATTTTTTAGTAATAAACTCAACACATGACTGGTTTGGTCCTGTAGGTCCCCCCAGCTGTGATCTCCACCCATATGGCAATTTGTAGGTTTCAATACACTTTCACATCCAGCCCATAATCTACATGTGGATGCACATCTTCAGCTGCTGTCTCAGGCCACTAGCCCTGCTCATCTTGGTGTATCGTGGGTGACTACCTGCAGACAAGGATCAGAGTGTTTCTGTATGTGTGTATATAATTAAAAGTATATCTAACAAAGGTGTGAATCAGTTAAATAATTTATTAATCAATTTTAAATGATATATTGAGTTGTTCTTGTCTTTAAAATAAGAAACAAACTTCCAGGGCTACTGTCCCACACATTTCATGCCTGGCATTTTGCAGTTTGCATCCAACTGAAAATCATAACTGCACTGCCACCTGCTGTTTTAACAGGGGGTTAAAAATTTAAAGCACTACTATCACATACTTAGCAATTTTAAAATCATCATCATCATCATCTTTATTTATACCCCACCCATCTGGCTGGGTTTCCTCAGCCATTCTGGGCGGCTCCCAACAGAATAATAATAATAATAATAATAATGAAGCGATAAAATATCAAACATTAAAAACTTTCCTAAACAGGGCTGCCTTCAGATGTCCGAAGGTACATATGATCTGCACTAAAAGGTTGTGGTGTAGAATTCTGCTCAGGATTCCAGCCATCTACTGTACATCTGCTTCCACAATACTCCCTTCCATTTCCTACCCCACAACAGACAACTAGCATTTATTTGACAGCCAGCTTCATTGGATTGTTTTCTTCCCTGTTACTTATTTGGAGATGTATTAATACTATTTTTTGTAGTTTTCATTTACATTTCATATATATTTTGTACACACACACACACACACACACCAGCAACACCACCACCACTGGGACACAAAGAAGGGATTCATGCACAGATCTTAGGCAGGCTTGTTTGGGTGGAAACAGTCCTTTAGCTATAGGAACACAGGAACCTGCCTTTTACTGAGTCAAACCACAGGTCCATTTAGCTAACTGTTGTCTACACTGACTGTTTGCGGTTCTCCAGATTTTCAGACAGGGTTCTCTCTCTCCCAGTGCAACCTGGAGACACTGGGAATTGAACCTGGGAAGTTCTGCATGCAAGGGAGATGCTTTGCCACCAAGCCATGACCTGGGCCCAAGCCACTTAGTGCTTTACATGTAACAACCATCACCTTAATATATGCCTGGAAGTTAATCAAATGCCAGCACAGCTATTGTAAAATATGTGTCACATCACCTGCACGATGCTCTGAAGTGGTACACTCACCAAAATCCTTATTGCCACAATGTGGACCAGATGAAGTTTCCCAGAGACTATTCAAAGGAATCCCCATGTAGAGTAGGTTGCAGCAATTCAGTCCAGATATACGGTATGTAACCGGGGTGTGTGCCTCTATTGCCAGTCCTGATCTTCCTAAAAATGGGCTCAGCTGGTGGTTCAGCTTAAAGTGCCATGCTGCTAGCTAGCCCTCCAGAAACAAAGCTGTGTTCTCTTTGGTCACTTCTAAGTTGGGTCCAGAGACTTTGTTGGGAAAGGAGCTCTCTGCAGCATAAGCTGACATGAGATGGGAAAAGTAGGACAGTGGAAAACATACACATGAAGAAATGTAATAATTGCAGGCCCAGACCATGCACTCCCTGCCCACTGCTCAGGTGAGCTACCAATAAAGGAAACAGCATAGTTGAATGGGATCAAACCAGGCCACAACTTTATTGACTACAGATAAAGTGGTTTGGCAAAGGCATTGGGTAAGCATTTATTTCCAGGTTGCCTACTGGATATGACATCAGGATCAACCCAGCAGCGGGGATTTCTATGACTTACATCAAATAGGGGGATCCCGGCAGGGATCACTGTCTCTAGGCCCAAGCCCCCCATCTGGGCAAACAGACAAAAGCAACTCCATCACGAATCCCTTTAAGGGAAACCCTATTTCTGGAGGGGAAGGCAAGGGTACAACGCCCTCTCCAACCAAGGCTAAGGTTAAAGGTAAAGGGACCCCTGACCATTAGGTCCAGTCGTGGCCGACTCTGGGGTTGTGGAGCTCATCTTGCTTTATTGGCTGAGGGAGCCGGCGTACAGCTTCCGGGTCATGTGGCCAGCATGACGAAGCCGCTTCTGGCCAACCAGAGCAGCGCATAGAAAAACGCCGTTTACCTTCCCACTGGAGCGGGACCTATTTATCTACTTGCACTTTGACGTGCTTTCGAAATGCTAGGTTGGCAGGAGCAGGGACCAAGCAACGGGAGGTCACCCTGTCGCTAATCCCCTGGTCTTGTGCTGAACTTGATCCAAAGAAGCCCGACAATCTTGATCTGATGAAGAAGAGCTGGGCATTGGGGGCTGGTGTGGGTGGTTTTAAATCCCCCTGGGAGCAGTCCTGAGGGAAGCCTGATTGTTCCCTCAAGCCCATCCCTGGACAGCCCAGCCCTCTGCACCAGCCTGCCATTGGCCAATTTGGCAGGCTGATGCAGAGCAGGATTTCAAGGCGGGAGCATGAGCCGAAGCATGTGCTCCAGCAGGGATCAGATCCTGACCCCCGGCCCTGCATCATTGGCAGGAGAGGAGGCGCTGTGGGTAAGTGGACTTATCTTACAATGTAGCACATTAGTCTTCAGCTGGTAGGTGTGGATCCACTACCAGGTCGCAGCGTGATCTGAGGTGGGTCACAACAACAGCACTGCCACTATATAAATATATTGTGAAAGAAAGAAAGAAAGAAAGAAAGAAAGAAAGAAAGAAAGAAAGAAAAGGTAAAGGGACCCCTGACCATTAAGTCCAGTTGTGGACAACTCTGGGGTTGCAGTGCTCATCTAGCTTTATTAGCCGAGGGAGCTGTTGTACAGCTTCCGGGTCATGTGGCCAGCATGACTAAGCCGCTTCTGGTGAACCAGAGCAGCGCACGGAAACGCCGTTTACCTTCCCGCTGGAGCGGTACCTATTTATCTACTTGCACTTTGATGTGCTTTCGAACTGCTAGTTGGCAGGAGCTGGGACCGAGCAACGGGAGCTCACCCCATCGTGGGGATTCGAACCACTGACCTTCTGATTGGCTAGCCCTAGGTTCTGTGGTTTAACCCACAGTGCTACCCCAAATTGGGTCCCCAAATGCATGTTACAGATCAGACTACTGTGTGATATCATAATCTAAATTAAAGCAAGCTCTGGGACCACTAGGTGTCAGTGTTCCCTAAGGCCCCAGCACAACAAGAAAAAACAAACCCTTATTAGACTAAGAATCCTATCTATAAGAAAGCTTGAGTTTTCAGGCAAATTCTCCATCTCCACATGCACTAATGTTATATATTTATAACATGGGTGTACAGAATAACATGACCCCCGTTTTAAGAAGTGAGACTTCATTTCCTTATTTCTTTGGAAACACCAGAAGAAGCTTAATTTCTTTCATTCATGATCAGATGGCTGAGAGAATTCAGTGCTGAAGAAGCTGCTGTAAATGACCTCTAGAAAAGCACCACCGCTTTCCATTAGTAAGAAAACATTATGGTTTCGTATACATCAATGGTGTGCCTGCTGATTCACTGATAAGCAGCCCTGATCACTTCATCATTTTCTAAAGGATATGGGAGAACTAGGAAGAGCACCCAAAATTAATTCCTTCCATATGAGTGAAAAGCCAGCATGATCCAGTCTTTCTGTGTGATCAGTTTTTTTATTCAGTCAGTGTGCATACTTTCCCTTTAGTTGCACATATTTTGAACAATTCCTTCAAAGTACAGTATGTTGTATCTTGGTATAGTAATTCATTTATTGCCCTTGTAATTGTTGTGCTGAATATGGTCACAGGCACCTAGTGTGTTGTGAGTAATCCTGAGCCACACAATTTCTCTCTCCATACTTAAATCATTTTGTAAACCACTGTCTACTTTTATTTTCTATTTTCTATTTTCTATACTCTTTCTAGTGTCCAATCATCGGTTTTGAAGCTTCTCAGAATTTTGCAATGCAGTTCTCAGCTCAGAAAATGTATCAAAATGCATATAAAAATGCACATCTTTAGTTAAAATGCATACAACAGTGCACATTTTAGGGTGTGTGCAAAGCTGTATATGACAGAATAAAATGCATACAAAACTTAGAATATTTTGTGACAATTCGTTAAGAATAATATTTTTGTGCGTGCGTTTTAGATTGATGTGGAGATGGGATGGAACAGATTTATGCCTGAACACATGAGAAAAGGTCACATGCTGGAAACAAGCTGGTCTGTCCATCTCTTACTCTTGCATAGCAAGAATAACATGCCCCCCCCCCCAATCTATTAGACACAGGTTACATTATGCCAGCAGCATTTGGGCAAGCTGCTTCAGATACTCTGTAACATTTGAAAGTGCAAGATTGCTCCTAAAGAAGGAACCCCTCTTGGAAAATGTGTTCTGCTGCAATAAATTTAATGGGCCACAATTTTGAGGACTAGTTTCTCCTCCTTGCATTCTTTTCAGTTTCTTCGTGTTCCTCCTGTTTGTTATGTGAAAACAGCTGCCAGCTTTAGGGGGAAGCAGATGGGCAATGAATGGCGTGATTCAAACAAATTGGTCACATTTATGCACAGTTCTGTGCAGCATCCGAGTTTAAAACAAGAATCAAAACAGTATCTTTCAGCAGCTGATTTTGCCTGGTTTTAGCCAGGTTCATTCCTGCTACTGTCAGAGATTTTTTTTTAGGTTGACATTTAATTAATGTATTATTTGCAGTGGAGACTGGTCCATTAGGGTGAACGAGTGCAATGCCTCACCAACCTTGGTTTGCCCTCAACCAGTCCTCATCTGGTTCCTGCTAAGTGGGTGAACCCTGACACCTCCTTCTCCCTGGTGTCAATTTTGCCCTTATAGAACTCAGCAGGGAGGAAGATGGGGACAGAGATAGAATCAGTTGGCTCTGACTGTCTTTTGCTCTGGCTCCACCTACGATTGGCCTCCCTGCCCCTTATCCTAACAGTCCCAAGGGCACTGCCACCAAAAAGCTTTGGATGCCGTGTCAAGAAGGCAAGGTAAACATGAATCAATCCAAAGAAAAGGGAAGTGACTGTTTCTTCATATGGCTCATAAGTGACCTTTGAAACTCAGCTACAGGCCAAGGCACATTCCAATAGTATAATTAGGCTTCAGGAAGCATAAAGCCAGCTGCAAGGAATATCAGTGGTTAGGGGATCCATCCAATTACTGATGAATCCATGATCTTAGACCGGGGTGGACAGCCTGGGGTGCAGCCTGCGTGCTAATTTCATGTAGTCCACATCCTAATTTCATCTGGGTGGTAAGGAGGGGGGGAAGGGGGTGGCAAGGAGAGAAAGGGGTGCCTGCCCATATTTGGCTTCAGCCCTGCCCATCATGTTCCCCATCCCTCTCTTAGACCATGGGAAGCTGGGTGTGATTAAAAAGGCAGGCATCCCAAAACAAACAGAACAATTGACCATTGTGGGAGAAAGGAGAACTTGGCTAGAAGGATTAGGAAAAAGTTTCTGATGGTAAGAGTAGAACAGACTCCCTCGGAAGGTGCTGGACTCTCCTTCATTGCAGGTTGTTACGCAGAGGTTGGGTGGCCATTTGTCAGGGATTTTTGGCTGTAATTCTTGCATTGCAGAGGATTGGACTAGATGACCTTTGGGATCCCTTCCAACTCTGCAGTTCTATGTTTTTTAAATCTGATGTGGGTGGGCTACTTTGTCCAGCAACACATGCCTCGCTTCTACCTGACTGTGATTTTCTTCCCTTCCATTGCTTTCTTGCTGTTTGGCACCATGATTTGCATGACCAATGTTTGATATACTGTACATTCTGAAAAAAATATGTGGCCGACAGAGGATTTCAATATTTGGGTGAAACTTCCTTATGGCCTAAAATTGGGGTGGGGAGGGAGGGGGGAGGGGTTTGTGGAGGCGAGCATTCCAGCAATTCCCTCTTGATAGTATGTGTTGTAAACACAAACTGCTCTATCACAGTTTTCAGCACAAAAACAACAATGACAATTTAATATATGTTTTGAAAACACCCTCCTGTGTTTTTAACTGGGAATCCTCTGTCCTGGGCAAAAGCAATGCTCCTGCATTCTCTCTGGAGAGGATCTTGGCATTTTTGAGAGCAACATCTTGAAGGAATGTGGCCTCT